TGACTATCACTGTATTTATTTTCAAGGCATTTTACTGTATAGTTTTGGAGAAAACTAAAAGCAAAATCACTCCAAACAACAAAATGCATCCTTGCACTTGCACTGAGTCCCATTTTCCAACACTCATAAATAGTGTTCCTTTATAGGTTAGCTAAATCGTACAACTGATATGTTTTCAGAGTGAGCCTGACTATCACTGTATTTATTTTCAAGGCATTTTACAGTATAGTGTTGGAGAAAACTAAAAGCAAAATCACCCAAAACATCAAAGGGTCGCTATGGGGAACGCCTCGTCGTGACCCGTGTCTGAAGCATACATTGAAAAAACACCAACTCGTTGGCCGGCGACAGCTATGACGTCACTACCTGTGCGACTACAGTATAAATAGGCGCCGGGAGCACACATCGTTCACTTCTTCGTCTGAAGCTTGCGTCCGCAGCATGGCAAGAAACCTAGTTGCTTTTAGTTTTCTCCAAAACTATACAGTAAAATGCCTTGAAAATGAAGACAGTGATAGTCAGGGTCACTCTGAATACATATGAATTGAAAGAATGAGCTAACCTTTAAAGGAACACTTTTTATGAGTGTTGGAATATTGGACACAGTGGAAGTGCTAGGACTCATTTTGTTGTTATACACACACACACACACACACATATACATATATTTATATATATATATATATATATATATATAGACACACACACACACACAAACATTAAATTTAAAAAACAATGAATATAAAACATTAATATTAACATTTATAAACATTAATACATTATTTATAATAATTAATGTACAATACAAACGTTTATGTACAAAAATAATGTATTTACAAACTAAAAATAAAAGTTAAAATAAGCTAATTATAAAGGAAACGTCGGTATGACAGCTTCTTTACATGCATTTTGACTGCTCCCAGCACCCGTACCGTAAGTGCACAATTACACGCGCACGAAAAAAAAAAGGTGCGGCTGGCTTGACCGTGCATTTTCAAAGCGCGGCGGGTTTGACCGCAGTGAAAAACACAGGCAAGAATAGCTCCTTATTTGAACAGGAATAAAAAGCCCATCGTACAAAGCGGTCTCCCAGGACACCGAGGAATACTTGCGGGGTCTCGAAGAGAGATCCATATTAATTGGGCGAATCGTTAACACTGGCAATAATACTATTCCGCTCTACTTTTTTGTAAATAAATCTGCTGCAAACGCGCGCGAATCTCAGTACTTAACAAAAACCACATTATCCGGTGACCACAAAAAAAAAAACGGATGAGCTACCCGATAAACAACTAAAGTGACAACAAATACAACACTATCATATAATCAAAAGAAGCGAACGATAAAATAGTAAACACAATAACGGTAATCTGCATAATTTATTCAGGCCGCGGTGCATAGGCAACTCGAGTACAGCGACTATGGTAATATTGTTATCCACAGACTCCACACCTTGATCAAAAGCGTACTTTGTGAAGATTTAAATGGTTTGGTTCATGCTTGCTGTTTAGTGATTAAAGCAGTTTTGAATGATTGAAACAATAGGCTTGGTAATAAGGTCTGTCTCGTGACGACCAGCAACATTTCTACAAAAATCTGCTCTTTTATTTAGGCCTATAGAATTATATATTCTAAATGTTTGCACAAATTATTTCTTAATTATTTTAAGTTATATGTATAAATTAAAAATTTTACTTAGGCCTATGTTTGAACTTTTTGGTTTTTGCCAATAGATTTACACACATTGTAATGTCAGTTCTTATGAAATTTCAACAAGTGTCCTTCAGTGTCACATGATTGCAGTGGTTGTATGGATGATTTATTATTATTATGACATTTTGTACACCAGCAGGGCCCATTTTCATGATCTTGCTGAAGGCAAACCCACAGGCTCGCACTGAGAAAAGGTAATGTGAAGAATACTTGCTGTAGTGAGCAACATTTATTGATTCGTTTTCTTGCTGCTATGGGTTTCATTTTTAATGTTTAGAGCAATTTTGTCATCAAACATTGTACAAAGAGAGTCTTTTGCTTTGAAAGCTTTATATGAACACAAATTCTGTTGGGGTGGAGAATAAATAATTTCAGGGCAGCAATAAGGTTTCATGTTCAGAGTTCAATATCTTAGCCTGCTAAGATATCTGTGATTTATCCATATGCTTCAGACATCTTCAGTTTCTCAGCAGCAGAGTACAAGCATAACACATTGCAAACAGCTGTCTAAACTGTGGTATGCTATCACATGTAGCCTATGTGAAGCATAATTTCAAGAACAAACAGACAAAGAACCTGTGAAAAGTGAAGGCTGAAAAAGATCCAGCCACTTGCCTCTAAATATGCACAAATTCTGATTTATCTCAGATTGGTAAGCGATGGATGCTGATGGGCATTTTTGTAGCCACAAAATAGTAGCTAAACAAATGTATTTCTACAATAAGGATAGTTGTATTAACTTTGTATGGCAAGTTTGTGACAAAAAAAAATAGCTGTTGAGTGTCAAAAGTTGTCAAACTATCCAAACAAAACTCAAATCTATGGCTTTGGTAAGAATATCTACAGAACAAACCAAGCCTGTCAACTTTTTTAATCTTAGTGCTAACTGGAGAAAAATCGTAGAATATCAGGATCTCAACATTTTGAGGAATCTGAAAACCAAACCCCCAAGTTATCCAAGTCTGTCATGAGCCAGTCTAATATTAAATCCCGCTTTCAATAGATGAAGTTTGACGCATTAAAAGCAGTCTCTGTTGGATTGAAACTTGTAATGCATATAAGCAACCTACAGCCAAATAAGCAACCGCAATAAGCAGCAAGGATCTGTAGTTGACAAAAGCTTTATGATGACAACATGTTCATAACCTTCTCTGGAACTCTTTCAAATTGTACCAATATCTCAGCAGAAATGTGGTTTCTTGTGTTGGAACGTGATGTGGGAGTCTTTCTCAAATCTGTATTAAATTGCTTAGATAATAGCTCAGGGACAGTTATGCCACAGATCATCACTTCATCGGGTTCCAAGAACAGTCATTCACTCCAGCTGTTATTTAGAGGGAAATAATGCAAGAAGCTCAAGGAAAAGTAGTGTTGGGTCAGTCTGAATACTTAGAACAATATAGAAATGTCTTTTTGTCGCAAAACCTTGAGAGACTTGTACAATAAAGCTGCTGAAACTAGTGTTTCTACTGTAAAACCATATTATTATGAATTGGGCAGATGAAATTTGTTATAGTATATATTTGGTATAAATTTGGTACACTATTATATATTAAGGTCAAATCCTAGCTTGTCATGTTACCCTCACGTTGTAAGCAAGCATTCACTATATTTAATCTTGCGTCCTGATTTTGAGCAGCCAATGTCAAGAACACCATGAGGCCCAGACTAAACATCTCCCATGGTAGAGGATGCCTGTTAGGGTGATCATGACACTAAAATATGCGACTGGAAGTGTTTGCTAGAAATGGACTAATCTAAAAGCCAAACATCCCTTTTTCTAATCGTTGCTGTCTAAGTGTTACCCAATCAAAACATAATGCATTCTCAATATGGTCTCTGGACAACCAAGCTCAGCAGTTGGGAACCACAACATTGAGCTTAATTCTGTTGTTTTGTGCAGAATAAAATCCACAACTTCTCCTCATGGGCTTTGTTTTTAATTAGTCAGCAGCATATGAGAACTCCACAAATTCCATGTAAGTGTGTCCAGCACATAATAATAATCCATTAAATCCTGGTAGCAGCACTTGACTGGTAAGGACTGTGATAAAAGCTTGAGTTGCATCCCCCTGGGTATCCCATCATCCCTGTGATTGCAATTAGAAAGTCTCAGTGCTCCTTTGGTCTTTTCTCAGAGGAAGTTGGTGAAATATGTGGCTATGTTCTTCTGAGTATCTTCTTTTTTAGCCATAAGAACATTTGGACATGGACTCATGTCAGTCCTGCTACATATTATACTACATATTAACTTAAATATTAATATTCAACCAAGTGTATACTACTAGTAGTGATTGAGAGCTAGTTTAATTCTATTTTTTAACTAATTTCTGATGGATTAACACTGCAAAGTACTACTTGGGCCTTGCACCTTTCAACTGTTATACATTGAGTTTAAAGTCACCTACCAGTGGATTGCCTGCAGTGAATGGGTGGCATCAGAATGAGAGTCCAAACAGCTGAACTGGAATCACAACATGATTCCAGTCCATCAATTAATGTCTTGTGAAGCAAAAAGCTTCATGTTTGTTAGAAACAAATCCATTATTAAGGCTTTTTCATTTTAAATTGTTGCTTCTGGCCTAAATACGAGTCCATAATCCATAATAATGCCTCCTCCAGTAAAAAGTCCATCCACTGTTGTCTTCTCACATCAACATCCATTGACATATTTGTTTAGAACTGTTATGGATTGTTTACGCTTATAAACGGTGCTTGATCTGTGCATATTTCTCTCCTGATTCAGACAAGACCTTTTTAGAGGACTCGTATTTTAGATGGAAGCAATGGTTTGAAGTTAAAAACATCTTGATGGATCTGTTACTTACAAACACACAGCTTTCGCTTCACAAGACATTAATTGATGTACACGAAGCTGTGTGGATTACTTGTGAATTATTGTGAAGGTTTTATCAGCTCTGTGAACTCACATTAGGACGGCACCCATTCACTGCAGAGGATCCATTGGTGAGCAAATGATGTAAGGCAAAATTTCTCCAAATCTGTTCGGATGAAGAAACAATCTCATCTACATCTTGAATGGTCGGAGGATGGGTAAATGTTCAGCAGATTTTCTTTTTTAGGTGAACTACTCCTTTAACATGTTACATTGCCATGATGGAAAACATAATAACTGTTTGGTTTATAAAGTATTTCCTCTCGTCTGATTTTTTATTTTCAAATACACTTACATTTCCACTACCAAGTCAATTACAAGTCAAAAGTACAATTTACACCTGTTAAAGTAGTTAGGCGCATGAGAAACATTATGCCAGACCTGTTCAATTGTTTCCTCTTCCTTGAACACGTTTGTAAGGGTTCCATCAGTCATGTTCAGCAAAACCCACAAAATCTCCAAAATACAACAGTATCTGTTTCCAACAGCCCTGAATGTAACCACACCCTTACCACAAAATATCCCTGTCACAATCATTCTGTTGAGGCATTTGAAAATACAAAGCAGAATATTGTATTCAATACTCAAGTTATACTTGGATAATGGCAATGCTCAAAAAATATGGGGAAATGGTTTGTATTATGGGTCATTTTTCAAAACGGGAGCCATTAGTGTCCCCCATGTAACCTACATATGGGTAAAAATTAATGTAGCAATAAATAGCTGATGCAAGATGAAATGATCTCTTTTGTGGTCTTCAAGCCTCTCCTTGATTTGTATTTTTATAAACAAAATGCATGAAAATAAAAGGCAGCATTTTGGAATTTCCTAAACTTGAGCACTAACATGTCAACCCTGTTACCATCAACTCAGTTACCTTTCTGAAAGCATAATTGCATCCTAGCAATTAGCTTGAGATAATAACACTTAAACACATAATGTGTCTGGCAAAATGTTTAAAAATGTGCATATATTTTGACATCAATATGAGCCATTGTTTCCAGAGTTTCTTGCAGTGTTGCAATGACTGGAATTACATTTTAAACAAGGGCAAGGGCACACCAAAAAGAAACATTCAAGATAGATATGTCAAGAAACCATGATAAGCGAGGGGAAAGGACAGACAGCCTTGAGGGAGGCATAGACAGACAGAAAGAGAGAGAAACGGAGAGCTGTGGTGCCCTAATCATTTCCCACACTGTGGCCCCGGGGAACAGACAACCAGATGATGGGGTTATTTACCACAGAGATAAGAAAGAGAGTAAAAACAGTGAACTGTTGCTCTTAGTCTGAGTTCAGACTGAAAACGCAATCTAAATTTCAGATATTACTAGCAACAATAATAGCAAAACTCAACCAAAGTGCACAAATAATTTGTTATAAAAATATACATTTGTATTCCGATCAAATATAACAATTGCTTTTTATTTATTTTCATATTGTCATAATGATAATTACAAGAAACGGTGACTAAGAAGCATCCGTCAGTTTTCTCAGAGATTTTAGAAGGTTAAAGAGCGCCTCCTTGTTTCGGGTTCACCGTAAAACACCAAAGAGGAGTTTATGACTCTCAAATGCACATACAATCCATCGTGATCAGTAGGCTACTGTCATCCACTGCTCTCACAAGCGCGTTTATTATATATCTTATAATGAGAGAAATTTTCTTTTCCCCCGTTCATAGTTCTAGCGACTTCACTCGAGGCGCGGTCCATTTTAATTGTTGATATCCAAACGCATGCAATTTTTTCTGTTACGCTATTATTAGCCTATTATTTAACTTTTACTCATTTTTATATTTTTCTGTTATGCTTTTCTTTATGTCTCTACAGACAACTTAGTTCGTTTAAAATCCTCTGAAGCATTATTGCCATCAATTGTAGAGATTTTTGTATCCATGCAAAAAAACAAAAGAAGCTTGAAAGAGTCAGGGACAGCGAGCGAACATAAAGACGAGAGTCCAATAAAGAAATTCCTACCTTCTCTGGCTAAGTGACGCTTGTGTTGTCAAGGTTACCTTTTCACATATCCATGCTGCGAGTTTGCATAAGTTTTCAGTGGAGTGCGTTCTGATCTATCTGTCCCAGTGTTTTTGGCTGGGAGGAGGAGGGAACGCAGGAAATGATGAGAACCGTTATGTGAGAAATGTGATATAGTCTGTGAAACTAGTTCATTTATGTGGTAAATCCTTTCGGGTAAAATAATACGCTCAGTTTTTTAGTAAAAGGCATTAAATTAACAGTTAACTTAACTGTTTATGATGTTAAAAGTGGTGTATGAATACTTGCTGGGTGTACGGTCACTTAATTTTTAAGAGAATTCTCCTACCAATTATAAGTCTAAAGTAGTCGGTATTATCGTTTTTATCTTTTTAGAACGTTGCACGTTTGATTATAACGTGAATCTAGCGCTGTTCTTCGACGCGAATGCAAACAAAAAACAAAAAAAACTTTGGAAACAGCGCCTCCTGGGGACTAAAAATGCCTTTACCATTAGATTCAACTGCGTCATTTGAGCAGAGGGTTTGACAGACAAATGGAGACAAGAAACCGGAATTCACATATTAACAAAACTGTAATATAACTCAAAAGGTCAAAACAGCTCTCTTTGTTAAATCGTGTACCTGAACATTTCAGTTATTATATATACACACATCTTAATGACAAAGAATATAATTCTGATACCTTCAAAAAAATGTACCTTGTACTGTCTTCAAAAAACAACAAAAGAAAATGTTGTACACCATCATGAATCTAAATCTACACAAAGCTAGAAAAGAACTGAATTGGGAAGTTAGTCATACAGCATATAATTTGGGGACAAGGACAATTTGGGGACAAGGACAAAACACATTCACTGATTATTATTTACATATAATAGTTGACAGTAAACCGCAAGGTAAAAAAGAGAAGAGTAAAAAGAGAGAGGGGGTCATTTTACACTGTACAATAAGACTGGAAAATGTATAGTTTGTGTTTAGTAACAATTCTGACAATTATAAAAATGTAATGAATAAATTGATCACCTAATTTTATAAGGAAATTGGCACTTCTATCCCAACATCAAGTTCAGTGTGACTGGACTGCAGTAGAAGTAAACATTGTTTTTGCTAATTTCAGAGTGCTTGATTTCAAAATGCAAGAACACAGTGATAATTAATGCTAACTTTCTGTATCAAGCGAACTCTAATAATAAACAAGGTTTAATCACACACATTGGTCAAGACGACAAACCTACACATCAAAAAGAAATGAACACACTGGAGGTTGCTCAGGCAGACCAATGAGATGGGTCGGACATCATGGAGAAGACCCAGCAATTAGCACAATACCAGAACCCGCATATAACAGTCCAGACTGTGAAGGCTTTTAGCTAAGCACCACGTGGCGGTCGAAGACAGACTTGCGCTGCTCTTGGACCTGCCTCTTCCAGCGCTGCTGAGCGTGCTCCACTTTGTTTAGCATGTTGGAGCGAGAGCGAGAACGGGAAAGCACATCATGGGCGTTAGCGAAGGGCTGCTGGTCCTGTAACAACAGAGTTTAACGTTATCACATTTTATAGCATATGACTATCATTAATGACACAAAATGGGTGCATCTATTTTGTTACACAGCTTTTTCATTTAAACTACCAAAACTTACAACATATATTAAATCTTGTATCCATAAAGATGTAACACTTACCCCAACATCATCGTCACTCTGAATGAGCTGTGAATGGCCAAACAGCCTTCTCTTCAGTATAGGCTCCAACAGCGTCAGATAGACCATATACAACAACAGAAGGCCCAGGATAGACAGATATGCTATAATGGTGCCCTGTAAAATAGAGAAAGATGATTATTTCTCTAATACTTAAAAACGTGTTTTAACTTAGTATATTATATATGCCATACTATATAAAGACGTTGAACTTACTTTGATGGTTCCAGAGCTCCTTTCTTCATATTTGCATTCACAGCGTAAACAGTATGCCTCCACATCTTTGCCTTCAACAGGCATCGGCTCCACCACATGAAGGCAATTACTGTGCAAATGATTATATTAGAGATGTTATGGATCAGTGAACAGAGAGTCATTGGGTTAGTTTATTACAGAAGATACTGTAGACGCGTATTAAGACTAGTAAATCATTTACCAGTCCTTCAAGGAAACGTTTTGATTGTAGATCTGCCCAGCAATGTCCTTATAAGGTGGACAGATACATTTGCACCTGATGTCTTCTGAATTCTGAGAAGAGTGACCACACATACACAATCTCATTTATTTACACCTATGAATGACACGAAATCAATGACGGTCACCATACTTGGGTCAGTTAAGAATCCACTTGACATTGTTTCCGATAAGGAAACATTAAACATGCTAACGGCTAGTTAGCACTGCCAACAACACAACAGGCTCTCAACCACACAAAGTATATCGTTTAAAATACAGTGATAAATATCCTATTTTACCTTAGCTTCTGATGTTTGTGCAGATAATATCAGCAGAAAACACGCTAGCGATGAAAACGTCAACAGATTGACAGCGGCTCTTGAGGTCAATCGATACATCTTTTTCGCTTCCGCTCAAGAGAACGTCGTCAAATATTGAAGAGAGATGAACCAGAATAACGAGTAAATATTACATTAGCAACGCATGCAATGACTAGAACTCTTCTGGTCCAAATAAACGTCAACAAAACAAAGCGTGAGGGCTGGACTCTGGTTTGACACATCAGCTGACCATCAGCAGTCGGTCCGCACATTACCACTTCCTTCCGGAAACACGTGGCTGGGAACCATTCTTCCATAAGATTGAACAACGGTCTAACCGAGTTCGGCTCTGTCGTTGAAAACAGTCTTATCACTATTCAGTCCTATGATTCAGTCTGGTGTTACCTGCACGATGCTATATGCTTCAAACTGCATTAACTACAATATAAAATATAAATAGAGATCAGTCACAGTAATTTATTTTAACTTATTTTAATTGGCAGCCTATTTATATGTAATATGCCTCATTTTATTCCTAAAACATGATTTTTTTCTGATGGAATGATAAAGAGATATTCAGAATCCCCTCTTCATAACATTTAAATGTAATATGTCAACAAAATGAAACAAGCATTTTGAACCTGGCTTTATCCAATGTCTAGATTTCTGTTTTGAAAATGTATGCAAATTAGTGCATATTTAATTAGATAATGCAATAATTTCCATATTTTAACATAACATTTCAGAAAATGTTTGCAATTCTTAATTTAATAATCAACTGCTTAAGTATGGTGGGATCTATTAAAAAAATTACCCTATTCACCTGGGGTTGTCTTGCCTCAAGCCATAGTTTCTGTTTAATAGGTTTAACAGAAGTTTAATTTCTCCAAGAACCCCCTGGTTGTAAATCGCTGATCTAGGCTTCTGCAACTGCGCTGCATTTGATACAACAAAGACATTTTGAGTGTACTTCTTTATTTACATGTTAGATGTACAACCATAAAAATATAAACATTTAATTTACTCTGCATGTCATCAATGAGTAATCAATCCTACATCAAGAGCTTCTTAATCCAAAAATCAGTTTAGGTGTTGGAAGTGTGACGGGAGTGAATGCAGAGAAACTGACAACTGATATATGAAATGACCATAATGTCTAACCAGTACCACTGAAAATATTGCGTACATCTAAAATTTCTTACTGGAGACAAATGAAGAATACATATGTCATGTATGAAGAAGGCTACAATGAAAAAAAAAAAAAAAAAAAAGAGAATACAATATAGCAACATGAGAGCCAATGCAATTTGTTTTTACATAATGTACAACACATTCAAACTCACAAAAATGACTTTAACTGCTTTAACTTCCACTACATTCCTAGTAGTGCTCTGAAGTTTCAAAATAAACTGGTCAAACATATTATCACAAAAAAATAACACATTTTGTGAAATGACCTATAATATATAACAAGCAATCTAGTTGCTCTTCTTTTTTTTTCTAACTATAATTCAGGCTGTAATTAACATGTTTTTGTAACACAGTCACTTCTGGGCAATAAAGGAATTAAACAGGAAGAATCTTTTTCTTGAAAGGTGGCAGCTCATGTTATAATTGTAAGAAGGGCAGCAACCAATCCATTCACTGGAAAAACAGTTCATTTTCTTCAGGAGAAAAACAATTCCAATGAGGTATTTAGGGAAGTTTCTTGTGAACTCTCATCTCATCAGGTCCAAGAAGTCTTCTTGAATCCACAAGTGTGTAGGCGGCCAAGACCATTCAGGAATATTTTTCCAGGTCAGTCATTTAAAATTTGTCTGGAGCGCCAAATATTCATTCTGTAAAAAGATTATTTCACTAAATTCAGGGGCGTAGGAATCTCAAAACTTTGGAGCGGAGAAATCTGATAAATGATTTTGGAAACATTTCTCTAGACTCTTGTGCAGTGTAGTTGAAGAAGTTTTGTGGATGGGCCAGGACATCAAACAGGGCCTTCATAAGCTTCTTGTCCTGTAAAGTTCATTAGAAAACAGAAATGGACTTTAAGTCAATTACAAAACACCAGTACAGTATATTTTCCCATCTTCCACATGGTGGCATTATTGCCTCTTTTTTACTAATGGGATATGCAATGGCAAACCTCTTGATTTTAGTACTTGCCTCACAATAATTACTTAAAATCCATTGGCCATTCACAAAAGTTATAATGAAACTTGTTTAAAAAAGTTGCTTTGAAAGACAAGTTAATGCACGATACCTTAAGAATTTCTTGATGATTCTCAGAGGCATATAACCTTCCATCCCTAACAATGTCCTCAATAAGCTCCTGGTAGTCCTCTAAAAGAAGCACATCGCATAGCATATAAACACTTGACATACTTTGAACACTTATCACACAATACAAAAGCGTCATCAATTCGATTCTCACCATCATACGTTACATAAGGCACTTGGAAGCCTTTTCCACCGTTTCCTTCATTGGAGCGGAACTGGATCCAGAGTTTCTTGGAGCGGGAGGTGAAGGCAATTGGTCGCTCATACGTCTGGCACGTCTCATAAGTCGTCACTGAATTGGGCAGAGCTGAGGGAACAGTAAAGAAACTTCTAAAGACCTCTTCAGTGGCTTATTCAAGCCCAAAGAGATGAAGGAGAGCCCTAATGAGCCCATCGATGAGGCTCCTCCCCCCATTTCCTCACATGTGTATTCACAATCACCCTGCTGAGCCAATGCATTCAATACCAGATCACAGCCCTGCAACACTCACAGCTCTTCCGCATGACCAAATAGTCCCCACACTCATCTTCAATGGGAAGGTAGATCTCAGGTACCACAATGAGGATTCTGCGCTTGGGAGGAGGGGTGATGGTCCAGGTGCACTCGATGTTGGCTGGGTAGTTGCCGGGGTAGTTGGGGGATTCGATATATCCGGTGAATTCTCCCAGCTCTCCTCTACAGTGTCTGTCTGGCAGGAACAAATGAAACCACTTAGGTTAGACTATATAGTGAACTAAATTATGTTTTGTTTTTTTTTTTATGAGAAAAGGGTAGGCTTAATTGAAAGAATAAGCCATCATTTAGATTTTAAAAGAGCTAAAACAGAACCTTTTTGTAATTTGCACTTACTTTTGCACTGCATAATGTTTGTGGATCCGTCAAAATCAGTGGTAGTGTTTCCAGGGCAGGCAATGCAGTAGTTTTGGCCAAACTCCATCTGATAGGTTCCAATGGGGCAACGGATACAACGGTGGGTGCTAGTATTATAGTAATGCCCTGGGGAGCACTGAACTGTAGGAACAACAAAATCAGTTCTGAATCAGCATTTCTTTCTTAAATACCATTAAATATAGAAGAATGTGACATCTGCAAAGAACATCAAACATTTTAAGCCAATAACCTTCTTCAAATCAGCCTAAACTGATTTAAGCTGGTGTCCTAGCCTGACCAGTTAAAAAGAGTTGCAAACCCCTCTAAACTTGTTTGGGAGACCTACTTGGGCTGTTTTTTTTCCAGCAGAGTAGTCTTTATTAATGTGAATATACAATACTGTTAGGAACAGGTCAGTCAGAATTTCTTTTTTTGAAGGAAATTAATACTTTTTTCAGCAATGATGCATTAAATGGATCAGAAGTGACAGCAAAGACATTTATAATCTTACAAAAGATTTCCATTTCAAATAAATGCTGAAAATTTTTTATCACAGGTTCCACAAAAATATTAATAAGCACAACTGTTTTCAACACTGATAATATATTAAATGATTTTGAACACCAAATCAGCATATTAGAATGATTTCTGAAAGATCATGTGACACTGAAGACTGGAGTAATGATGCTGAAAATTCAGATTTGCCATCACATGAATAAATTACATTTAACATTTTAAATGTTTTAAATGTTAACAGCAGTATAATCTGAGTACTTTCAATCTGAGATATTACAGCCATATACTTCTCACCTTTAGTCTCACAGTCTTGGAAGGACTTAGAACCGTGATATTTGGTTGTGAGGCTTCCTCCACATGGGAAACAGGAAGTGCGGCCGACCTCAGGCTGATAGGTGCCTTGTGGACAGGGCAGACAGGGTACAAAGCCATCATTGGAGAACTGACCAGGACCGCACTGACCTAGGATCAGAAAAAAATGTCAAGACAATGCCAGACAAACCAAGTTGAGTACTTTATTGCCTTCCAAAGAAAGCAAAGAAAGCAGTGATGGCATGCAAGTTCATTATCTAATAAAGTGCAGGCATCCTCTCATCCCTCTAGTGACCACACTAAATTGGCTGCCACTGAGACGAACCCTAACAGCGCCTTTAGTTGTGTCTATCAGCAGAAAGTAGAAGATGGCATCTGCATCTTAAGCTGCCTTTGATGACCGCGCCTCAGAAACAGAAACCTGGTGGTGCCTTTTTTTCTCCAAACACAAGACTGCTCTGGAATTCTATGTTGATGTGAATGAATTAGACATTTGAGGATTTGCAGGACTGCATGAAATGACCCCTCCCAACACACTCACAATCACAAAAACTCAACTCGAGCTCAACTAGCCATGAGCCTGTGAGATTATCATCAATACAGGTATGCTTCCTGACCACTGCATAAACAAAAAACAGGATGTGATTCATACTCTTTCTTTGCAACCTTGGATATCTGGGGGATGACATCTCTCAGCATAAATGGATAATAGGATGAAATGTGGTACATCTTGTGGTACATCCTTGGTGTGAACAGACCTTTACTTGGTTGAAGCAATAAACAGAATTTAAAACAAAATGACAGACAAACATACAAGCTCTTGACAGACACCAACCTCAATGGAAGTGTGTGATAGCGGAAAGACTACAGACTTGTTTGTTCGCGAGTATGTCTCTGTGAAGTCTCACCTCCACACTCCGAGATGTTGCGTGCTCCTGCAGTTCTCGGGATTCCCCGGCCCTCGGGTCCTGGGCACACGTCGCATGACACCTGCCCCTCTTCATCTTGGTACGTCCCAGGGGGGCAAAGAAAGCACCTCCCCTGCTCTCCATCATAGTATGTGCCAATGCTGCATTTCACTAGCACCGAACAAAGTCAGAAATTAGATGAAACAGAGACTAAACTTGGAACACAAAAGAGGGGCCTCACATTAAGCTGCTAAAGGGGCACTGCAAATCGACCTGATGCAGCTATGCCAAAAATTCAAACAAATAAGAGAACTGAGCCTTTCCACAGCTGCCTGATCCCCACATCAAACAGCCCTCACACACACATACACAATCCCTCACCTTACTGAACACGCTCAAGGGGAATATTACCTCGCATAAACCTATGATGTCTGATTAAAGGGAGCGGAACAAAGTATTTTTAATGTTCACTTTATAAACCGCTCTGGTTTATAGCGCTGCTTTCAAAAGTGTTTTATACACACTGTGCCTTAAAATAAGCCATGCACCAGTACGGTTCAGTCCTTGAACCAAGTAAGTATGGCAATTTAGAAACGTTCCTTTCATCTCAGTGTCTCTGTGCAAACATCCAACTGACAGTGTTCGGGAGAATTTAGACAAACCTCTTACTCCCGAGATTTTATGGTAATGACCGCTAATTCCACAAAGGCTCAAACTGCCCGATTTTCCAAGAAGAAAATGTAATTCTCTCAAGAGCAGTTCATTTTTTCCTCTCTTTTGTTAATACTGAATGACCATGAGGAGCCACCGTCACATTGTCCCGGGCGGCTTTTATTTGAAGGAGCGGCGGAGTAAGAGAGAGGAGAGGAAAAGAGTGAGAGATGAAGAGAGAGAGAGAGAAAAAAAAGCCTTTCAAATGCAAAGCGACGATTCTATTCAATCCTCGAATTGATGATCCCAAAGAGGTTTAAAGGACCTTTCACCTCTATTCAAGTCCCCCGGCTTTTGCCTATTTGATGACATAGGCAAACACTATGGTATCACAGTGGTAAGGAGCTGAACCTAATAAAAGGGGTCAGGATTGTGAATCCCCCATTCAACGGAGTCCAATCGCTCCTTGCGCCTATCAGGCAGGGGCCCAAACAGCTGATGCTAATTGATTCCCATGGTGTCGCTGAAGTCAATTCTCTTGAGCTGCTCACTAGCTGGGGTCACACAGAGTGGCCCTGCCTAAGGAGGAATTTGGCATTTAAACTGCTTGCTTGAATAAACCCCCCTCTAAA